GTTGGGCAGCACAAAAGTGCCATCTGATATTCCTGTGAGGGACTGTTAATGCAGTGCACAACACAACACAGCTGTGCTTCTTTGAGGTGTTCACCAAATGACCCAAAGAGTGACTTCAGCATAGGAGGGTTAATGGGACAAATGTACATTTTGAAGGAATTTCAAGTGAAATTCAAAGCCAACCAAAGGGTGATTTTTCAGCAAACTGTTGCTGCTCATACAAATTCTGGGAAAAATGAGAGGGGTCTATAGATTGGACCAATGGAATCTAGTTCAAGACTTGATGCAAGTAATTCATTGAAATATATTCACTCTTTTCAGGATTTTTGCTGAATGCCTTGAAAATTTGTCCCAATGGTGTTGGCCCATTGTTTGTAATATTCACCGTATCTTTCCCATTCATGCGTGATTCTGACCGAGTCCAACTCACTCGGCTATGACTAGCAATAACACCTGTGCCGAGAGCCTATGGCTTGAGCCATTCACCATAGATGCCAGTGTTACATCGAGCCATAGCTGAGTCATCTGAATATAGCCTCTTTCCTTTCCACTTGGCCAGGTTTCGAGGAGTATACCTGTCACTGCGGCGCCACAGTCATGATGCCACCTATCCGGTGTGGCACCAAGCCTCCCGAGTGTGACCAGCTGTGTGCCCGGCAGCATGACTGTGATCACCCAGTCCGTCACACCTGCCACAACGAAGACGTCTGCCCGCCCTGTGCCGAGCTGACATCCAAAATGTGCATGGGTAATCATGAGGTAAGAAATTCTTTACACCTTATGCATATGTATGAGCAAATGCACATTTTCATCAGTTGTTTCATCAGCCATGTCCATAATAGGTCTCCATGGCAATGACTATTGCTTTGTTTTGCAACAAAGACCCTAGCTTTAACATTTCCAGAAAGAGATTTAAACTAAGTCTGAGTCTAATTATTAGTCGAGGTCTTCCATTGTTAAACCATTTCTTATCGTCCTTGATATTGAGTCCTCTTGACTGACATCAATCAAAACTTCTACTCACATCTGAATGGTTAATTCTAGATGCGGTACAACATACCGTGCCACATCAAGGATATCTCCTGTGGTCATCCCTGTGGGAAGAAACTGCCATGCAGGATGCACACTTGCAAGATGATTTGTCACAAGGTAAGATTACTTGGCTACGGCTTAGAATTACGCACATGTCTATGGTACTGGCCACAGCCAGTTCCATTGAGTTGTGCATAATTCAAGTCACGGATTATGTGATTCTGATGTGGCCTTAGACAGTGAGGCTCCTGGGCCCTTTCCGTCAAGATATTGCTGAACAATTTTATGTTCTTGACAAACAAATAGTGGAAAACCGACCAGAGGTGATATCTGCTCAGTTGCATTTAAGACAATTACCTGTTTTGCTGAGCAACTTTTTCCTGTGCTTAGCATTCATCAGTGGTTGGGAGATATCAGAATAGAAGTGGGGATTCAAAAGGTGCGACTTGGAAGAAAAATTGACCCTGAAAATAACTCTTGATGTGGTATGACCAAATCAAATGGTAGAGTGTATCAAACTCTAGGTATGGGCTCTACTGTGAAACACAGAAACAAATGATAGGGGAAGAAATCATTTATTCACAGAAGTCCCTGGCTGCCATTTTTCAGATTTGCATCATGGGTAATTTTGCTGTTATGATGTGGGTTGATGGCTTCTGGCAAAGATAAGGTTGGAGACCGTCAACAGCAGAGCTGGGCATCTCAGCGCAATGCTCTTGAAACCTCGAGTCAAATTCTACTCAATTTTTCTGTTCAGCCTTTAATACTTTTATTTAAGTGAAGAAAAACCATCACGAGATGACCGTTCAGACTTGACAGTTTTGCAGTTTTGGAAGGTGTTACTTGTCAGCCGTGCGATTTCCTGATTCAGATGTTTTTTACTTCTTCCAGGTTATCTGCGAAGACTGTAAGCAACCTTGCCTCGTGCCCCGCCCAGAGTGTGGTCACCCCTGCTCCGCTCCGTGCCACATGGGCACGCCCTGCCCGCCCAGTCAGTGCAAGACCAGGTTTGTCATCCGCTGTGCCTGCGGGAACCGCTCGGAGACCGTTCAGTGCCTGCAGGGCGGGGATGATGCCAGGCTGACAGAGGCATTCCAGAGGTGCATTTCATGTCTTGTTATGGGGCTTTATCATGGGGCAACCATCTTGTTATTTCTACCATTTGAAGCAGTGCCAAACTGGCTGGAGGAAAAAATAGCATGTTTCCTTTTATAAGTGAAGTCGCATTGCTTTTGTTATTTGGTACACGGGCAAGACAAAAATGATAGCGTCATGGTAAAGGTCTATTAGTCACAAACTGATTGACAGTGAAAGAGACAGAACACGTCTCAGGCCTGTGAAATGATCACAAGAGAACCCAAAGTTCAGACTTTTGACCCTTGACCTTTGACCACTGATATAGAAATCACTAGCAAGTTGCAGTCTTACACAAGTGAATGGGTTCAAGAGACATGCAAGCGCTATTGTTTGTTAACTATGTGAACATTTGCATGTGGAAAAAAAATTGGCCGTCCAGTTTAAACAAAATTGTAATAAAAACTGCAACAAGTAATCAATCAAGCAAATAGTTGTCAACTTGCAGGCGTACCTTTCAAAGTTAAAACTTCTGTAGTGTCTTTCCTCAGCAAAGCACTAGCACAGTCAGAAGTCTGGTGAAAACTTTGGCCTCTTATCCGGAAATAAGTGACAGTCCACGTAATGATAAATAGCCATTGTTGCTTGTGCTGATGCTTTTCTTAGACTAGCAACGTCAACCTTGGCCGGGCAAGGCAGCCAATCGGGTCAGGATGTCGACATCAGCCAGCTGATGGCCTTGAGAAACAGCAAGACACAAAGACAGTGAGTCCAATAACTGCACCCACGCTCAGTCTGACCAGCACAGTCTTTACGAAAATGCCTCCTGATAGAAGAGAAAAGTACTTTCAAACCAGATTAACAAATATTCTGAAGTTTGTGCAGTTCCTTGTGCGGTGTGCAGCCAAGCATTTAGATGGAAGAGGAAAAGCTTGAACATCCCGATCAACTTAATGTCTGGCCGACAAAAATCCTTTCCACAGAAAATACTTTCAAATGGAATTGGTCAAAATGCAACAGATACAATTCTGAATACAGTGTACCCTCATTCTGGTCGACATTTTGCACGGTCTTGTAGTTAAGTCATGCATGCTTTCCATAATGGACCACAGCGCACGAGCAATGTCAACGGCTGTAAAGTGGGATATGCTTTTTTTCATACCCTTGATATAAAGCAGGGTTCCCGCGGCCAGGAAAAGTCATTAAAATGTCGCGGAATTTTGTTTTTTTGTTTTCCAGGCCTGGAAAAGTCATGGAATTTTGTAAAAATGACTAAAGTCATGGAAAAGTCATGAAATTTTTCAAACACTGTGTGATTTCTCTCATCAGACATAAGTGCATAAAATGTGTGATTGTATTTGCAACTTCAAAAGTCCGAATAGTCCAAGAAATTGCGTTACTGGGTCATGGATTTTCATATATTGGTTATGGAAAAGTCATGAAATTTAATTGTCCGTTAGGTGCAGGAACCCTGTAAAGGTACATGGCTTCATCTTGGGTCCCAAGATCCCTTGGTTAAAAAAAGCATGCTGGTCAGTATAATATATGTACCTGGTCATTCTCTAAATTTGGGGTCCAAAAGTGTTACGTTGTTTCTGTTAAACCCAACCTGCGTAATTTTACACGCAAATATTATCAAGACTGACCTTAAACTACTGTTATTTGTTTAGCAGGTAATTTGTATGAGATATTTACTCTTAGAAATTGAAGAATGTGTTCAGAACTTACAAAATCTTTTCTCGGATGTGACATGGACACAAGCAAAAATGGACCCCAAATTTATAGACTAACTCACACGGTTGTATTGCTTCTGCTGTGGTGAGTTAAGTTAATATTAGGAAAAAGAAGAGATAGGGAACAATTCTGTGAACTTAAGAGCCAAGAGTGTTTACGTTGAGCTTAGTGCTAAGTATAGCCTTTACTTGTCTCCTTTCAGATTAGAATGCAATCAAAAATGTGCCATCCTGTCCAGAAATAAGTAAGTATTGCCCGCCACAATTTATTTCGTACATTTAAAAATGTTTGTCCTCTCATGTAACATTGCATTCACCGCCAGTTATAGGATGATCATAGTTGATCGCCAAAAACCTCTAAAATTGTGTCACATCATTTAGTGAGATCGAACATGGCCCATTTGATGCGACATCTCTAGTGAATATGAATTACTGTAATTTTTTTTTTTTTCACATCTCATGACAGGCGCCTTGCTGATGCCTTACAGATCAAGGATCCAGACACTTCCAAGATTCCCACAGTGTACAGCGCCTTCCTGAAGGAGCAGGCCAGGTAATGTACCGAGAGCCTCATCATGGCTTTCAGTATCGTAATCAGAAGCTGTTGACATCCTAACCCAACAAACACGTCACGCAGGAGCGTGAGAAGTCAGCTCTTTAAGCTGGTGTTATCATTTTTGGTCCAGAATTTTATTATGAATTTCAGCTGTTTTCTGCCCTTCTGGAAATTTCAGCTTTCTGCGATCTGTTTTCAGCTGTTTTTGTATGTGGCCGCTCATGCCCCTGCATAGAAACACACAGTTGTCTCAAACTATTGTAGGGCAGCCTCTGAACCATGTGTGGTGTGCAGTTGCATATTATCAGTGTTATAGTCAAGTCCATCTCAAGTCCTTTCACAAGGCAAATCGTAAGTGCAAAACAGGTGGACAGGGTGCCTTTGTCACTGTTCATCTGAATGGCTTGTGACTTGGCTTAAGACTGGATGACTTGTGATGGACCTACAGGCACTTGTGATGGACCTGCAGGCACTTGTGATGGACCTGCAGGCACTTGTGATGGACCTGCAGGCACTTGTGATGGACCTGCAGGCACTTGTGATGGACCTACAGGCACTTGTGATGGACCTACAGGCACTTGTGATGGACCTGCAGGCACTTGTGATGGACCTGCAGGCACTTGTGATGGACCTACAGGCACTCGTGATGGACCTACAGGCACTTGTATTTAACTCAACTAAAACACTTTTTTACGCTTTACTGCTCTGAATGTTATAGAATCCGTGTTTTCCTATTTGCAGGAAGAATCCCCAACTGATAGCCAACATCATCAAGGAGTTGTCAGCGTTGGTCACCTCTGCTCAATCTGTAAGTCATAATCTATGGCACAAAGTGAACAGCTGCACAGTGCAAGTGGCTTTGATGTCTTCTTGAATCGATACTGTCAGGAAGAAAAGTGGGAGCAAGTACAGTTCCCAAGATTTCACCAGTCAGAACTGCCTTCAAGTTTTGTGTTTTGTGTTCGTATGGTTTTTATGGCTGTTGCCTCGATTTTGTTCAACAGCACAGTTTCACCTGGTCTGCTGTTATGCATTCACTTGTACCAACAAACATCGAGGTGGTTCTTAAACTTTTACAAATGACTGTGTGCTACACACAGTAGATGCTATTGTTCTACTGTTGCAATAGTTCACTCAGTCCCTTGGGGTGCATAAAGGTGCACTAGTGACCACAGTGCCAGTCCATATGTGTATATTACACGTAGGTCGCCCGAGATAGCCATGAAATACTTTCCCCTCCCTCTTCCCTCCCTCCACTTAGTCCAAACAGCCCAGCCGTAGCCACGCCTTCCCAGTGATGAACCAGAACCAACGGCGTGTGGTCCATGAGCTATCGGAGATGTACCGCTGTGAATCCCAGAGCTACGACCAGGAGCCCAAGCGCAACGTGGTCACGACGGCTAGGAAGTACGTAGGCCCGACATTTTCATTGACTCGGTTCAAATTGAAAGGAATTAAAAATATGCCCCTTTTGATAAAGCTTTCAACTTCTGTTTTATGATCAATAGAAATTTGGCAGAAAGCTACACGTAATTTGTCAATTTTAAGCATTCTGTACAGCTTTGGAATTTTCTTGTTCCTTCACTTTCTGTACAAAAGTGTCCGCCTTGCTGTTTTCATTTATCCTTCATTACAAGAACAAAATAACAGAGCAGAGTGACGTTGCAGAGTGGTTGCATTTTTCATAAGTAATGTTCATTCTTGGCACATCACTGTCTGGTTATAACACACTGACTGAAGTCACCTGTTGTCTTTTCTATTCCACATCAGAGGGATGTGCTTCATACCCACTGTGTCACTCTCCGTGGTCATTGAGCGGGAGACACACCCAAAGGCCCCACCCCCAATCATGCACACCAAGCACGAAGCTCCCAGACGCCTGACGTAGGTTTTTTTTCTTCTCAGCAATTTTGGCCTTTGATTCTTAGCAAGGATTTCTGTATGTAACCCCGATGGCTGGGGCCACTCTTCCAAGATGCTCCCTGCATTGGCAAATATGTCAACTGTTCAGGGATCAACATTGTCATACTATTGCCCTCACAGCAATATATAAAATGTACATTAATTGAATCAATTGTAAATGAAACATTTGAAAGCTTGAAGCTTGAATTGTAAACTATTCTTACCTAAGCGTATTTTTAATTTCCTTCAAAATTTATGTACTTTTAAATCCTGCTTCAAAAACTAAACCCCCTGAAAAAAATCAACCAAGGAAACCATAAAATGTTGTGCAGATTTATGCCCAGACCAAATTGATATCCCAGACCAAACATAGGAGAAGGCAGAAAATTTAACAAGTTGCTTGGACATATTATATCCAAGTGTACAGGAATGTCCGCTTGCCATAACTTTGTCACATTGGCAGCAAGATTGTGTCACAAGGGAGCATACATTGTCTTTATTTGTAGGTCTCTCTCCAAGATGCCACGCCCGGAGAGCCCTACAAGCCCCCCGCCTCCTCAGAAAGAGCCAGAGGTAGATAACACCGAGGTGCCCGACTCTTGGGAGGTCAGATAGTCATCATAGCAACCTGCTTCCCAAGTATATTGGTGTAGTGTGTGACTGAACTTAAAATGACATGACCCAAATGAGTCTGATGGCCAATTTTTTTCTCCCGTAAATTGGATTTGCTTTGCACTGAGAAGAGGGATCCTAATGAGAATGGACATTATAGGAGTCAAACTTGCGGAGGATTCCTACCGATTTCCAGGGTGCAAGATTCTTTTGAAAACCTTTAACTCGGAAGTTGCCCTGGCGGTTTGCATCTTATTTTGTTGAGTTGATTCATATACAAGGAGGGGGGGCCCTAAAGTTTTTGTTTAAAATGAAAGAAAGGTAATTTGGGGTCTTTTTTGCTTTATCTTTCAAAAGCGTGCAATAAGCATTAAATTGTAGCATCGACACTCAGAAAGATCATACCAAATGTCCATATTTTGTCGCCCCTAAACAATTAGCCCCCCCCCCCAAAAAAAAAGTTGGTTCTGGATCTGACCTTGTTCATATAAACTTATATATCGACCTTTGCATTGCATGACAAAACTACAGGTATATGTTAATCTAAGTACACGAATCAGATTGGTATGAGAAATAGTTGCCACAGAACTGGTCATTGTCACTTGAGACTATGGCTGCTGGCAAATCTGTTGTCTGGATCTAAGTTTCGATCTTCTCTCCACTGGAAATACATGCAGGCAATAGACCTAGCCATAGCTCTGGAAGTCCATTTCGGACATGACCAATCTTCACATGTGTAGAGTTTTTGTATGCAGGCCTCTGTGACTAGTCAGCCATTTTGGTCTGGTTGTTAGTGTCAGGATGATATCCTGGCAGTAATTTCGGAATGTATATAATTGATAAAAGGACAGAAACTAGATGGGTGTTTGCCGAAGGAAAAGTTGGTATTGTGGACAAAAGTATTTTTGATTAAGTGCTTAAGGGTAAAGAATTACCCTAATGAGAGCTCTGTAAACCATGTTCAGTGAGTTTGTTATCGGAATTCTGAAATCGTTTCAAATAGAAGTGTGCGGAAAGGCACGATTCAATTTTAATTAAACTTTATTTTGGATCCAGTCCAAAATTAGAGCTCTGTAAAGTCTTTTTCCTTGTTTTCTTGTTAAGCTACACTTTTGTTTTCTGATATAGTGTTGCTAAGACAGTTGCCAAAGTGTCATGTAGTACATTTCCTTTTTGAAATAAAACCTCAATGTATAGATGATCCAAGGCATTCCTTTTTATTGGAGAAAAGAGTACATATTCCCAAGTTGAATCTTTATTCCAACTGAATTTAAAGAAAAAGATGGTTAGTAAAGCCTGTGTCTTTAGTTGAATTTGTAAGAATCCAGATAAAACAAAATCGGTTATGAAGTGGTTGCTTTAAGGCCATTTCATCCAGCAGACGAAGACCAAATTATTAATTTGTGGAGCAAATTCACAAATTAGTTAAGCATATTTCGACTCGAGCAAATTTCACTGCAAATGTTATGTAATATCAAAAGCGCTTCACTTTGACTTTCGCCTTTAGTGTGAAGTGGCCTTTATTTTCAGAGGGCTTAATAGATATTTTATTCATTGATTTTCTTTCATGTCCGGCTGGGGGAAAAATGACAGTATATTTTCTTTGAGTTCATTTCAGAAACTTCCTCGTTTTTTCATGTTTTTTGTTTTCCTTCGGTTTTCCCTGTGTCTTCAATCGGTAACACCAGGCAGTTTTGAAGTTTTGAATGCCTCCTGTTTCTTAAGATATTTCCCAAGGGAGCGAGTTTAAACACAAACTTTATTTTGAAACGCCTTTTCCCTTCAAAATGGTGGATCCGTTCCCGATTGATATCGACTTTAATTTGATTTTTTATTTTGAAAGTTAGTTTCATTTTTGAATTAGTGCTGTAAAGAAGCCTTTTTTGACGTTAATGAAACCATCAACTTAACCCAGTAATAATAGTATACGCTATCCTCGGCAGAATATATAAGCGTGCTTTCCTTTTTTTTCGAGATCTTCAAGAGTTGTTTGAAACTGAAGCCATTATTAAAAACAAACTGCTGATCAGAATGAGCTTGTCATGCGAGTTTGTATCTTTTTGGCTCGTCACAGTGGCGGTCGTCTGGCCAGCTCGTTTTACTAAACAAGTCCACCTAGTCATGTAGAATGTGGGTGTCCTCCGGGGCTACTGTGGGATTCAATCCCATTAGCTCCAGCTTGAGGGTCCGAATATCTTACCACTGGGTCAACTTGCTCTTTCAATAATTCAGATGTGAAAAAGTAACATAATAGCGTTCTGTTCAGAATATCCCTTAATAACCTTGCACGTAGCACAACAAATCGCAAGGCGTCAGCCTTACAATTTAATAAGATTTGGCAAAAATTTGACTTGTCTGCAAATGCTCCCTGAATGCACTTTGAGCTGGAAAAAAAAAGGATCGATAGTGTCATTTTCAGAGAGTTTTTATTCTCTGGGCAAATTATTCTGTTTTTCAACTCAAATCAAATATCTGCAAGGTAAGCCGTTGGAGTTGAATTAAAACCTGGCCAAAATTGAACTTCTGGCCACATCCCTTATTGCAGTTTGAGCAGAAAACGAGTACTTCGGGTATACAACTATCCTGACTAAAATGCAAATGTTACTATTTTTCAATTAAATTAGGACTGCAAGAGAATAGTTTTGCAGTTTAATACGGGCGTTTATCGCCCGCATTAAAACTATGACAAAAATAACAACCTCCATAAACTTCCAAAAATGCGTTGGAAATCAAGATAAGCACTTCTGAATACTTTTCAGCTGGATTCATTCTTTAGACAAAAATTACCGTTTTGCAAGATATCCTGGATAAACTACAATACTGCAAGACTCAAGTCAAAATTACATGTACATGTACATTGAATTTCCCTTCAAACTTTAGGCTTGATTTAAAACTGCTGTGAAATTTAATAATGGGAAATAGTTGTGACTGATGTTGTAAAAGAGGTCATTTGTTTATGCTTAATCTTGCAATATTACATGAAAAATTAGGACCGTTGTACGGAGCTCTGTACGGAGCTCTGGAAGTGCCATCCGACATGTTGACATCCTGACATATTGTTTCTCGGGTAACGACATGATATAGGCAAGATATTCACAACCTGCAGCTAATTTATCTCGAGAACACGACATCTTAAAAGTTGGATGGCGACATCCTGTATTAATTTATCATGGGAAGACAACATTGTAACAACTGGATGACGACATCTGGAAATAATTTAGCATGGGATGACGACATCGTAAAAGGGTAGACATCACACTTGCTGGATGTCTCTGGATGACGGCATCCTGAAGTAATGATTATCGTCATTATCTGAGGATGTCGTCATCCAACTTTTACGTTGTCATCATTCCCATGATAAGTTATCTCAGGATACCGTTATTCCACTTTTAGAATGTCTTCATCCCATGATAAATTACCTTTAGGATGGCATCATCCAACTTTTATGATATTGTCATCCCGTCATAAATTATCTTAGGATGTCGACATCTTGACTTTATTATGTCGTCATCCAGAGAAAAACATGTCGGGTTCTCAACAAGTCGGATGGCACTTCCAGAGCTACGTAGAATATCGAAAAAGTCAACACAAAACCCAAAGAGGCAGCAAAATACCTTTTGCAACAGTAACAAAAGACGAAAATCAGGTGAATTGAGAAACAAAGGTGCATTTTGAAGGTTTGTTGTCAAACAAGTCGATTACAGCTACGCTTTAATGAACTCTCGAAACTTTTGGAAAGTTTGAATGAGTTTACAAACCACCTAACCAGTAACGCCTTGTGTACAAGGATGCAAACCAGTGGCTGTCGGCTTGTGTTGTGACTCAATTTTTGAGGACCGATGCTGAAAAGGATCCTTTCAATTAAGAGAGATCAAGGGTGAGGATTTACTATTCAAAGTCAATACCTATCTTTCAGATTCACGTTTCACAAGGATTCGTGAGAGCTACTTGAATAAACAAAAAATAAATGTGTTTAAATCCACTGTGGTACACCTTGAAGACAAGTTCAAAACTATTCCACATAAATGTTACAAATTTTTCTCAATTTTGGCAGAACCTACAAATAATTCGCACTATTTAGTTCCCCGTTATATTCGAATCAATTCTTATTTTTTTTTAAAAGAAATTCCTCAAGTTTTAAAAATAAAATATTCTTAAGAGTGAGGTCATGGTAATTCAGTTAAATGCGCTCATATTTTTCAACCCCCAAATTGAATGGCCCTCGTTTTTCATGTAATACCATAGAGCTAGGAATAATAAGGAAATAAATATGTGTTTGGCCGGTCTCAAATGTGCGTTTAAGATCAGCTCAGGAGAATGGACGCGACTAATTATTTATTAATACTAATTATTTTCAGCATTCAATCACCAAGCATATATTTATTCTCATTCATAAAATTGCCATTGTAGTCAGAGAGTCAAAGAAAATCAATATGCGATAAATATCTAAGGATTTTGTTCAAGAATTTTACTTTCATTTTCCTGAACACCCCCGTCCATCTGATGGTATGTTCCCTGTGCAAATCAAGTGGTCTAGAAGAATCTCCTTATATGGATTGACACGCGCGTGGCGAGTCCCGGGTGCCACAGACTCTTGACCAATAGGAATGGATTAATCTGTCTCGAATCTAGGCGCCAGCGCGCGCTTTATGGAGCGGGCATTATCAAATCGGAGTGAGCATTCTAAAATGTTAATACACGGGGTCACTTTGCGCGTTGATGAATAGGAAATCTGTCTTACGTATTTATAAATGGGGGATTAAACATATGACCTCTTACACAATATCTGTCACAACCATTTCCAGCTATAAAATTTAACAGCAGTTTTATATCAAGCTTGTTTGAAGGAGAGTAAAACACGCCCACCACTTTTGATATGAGTCTTGCTGTGTTGTACTTTTACCAGGAAATCTTGCGAATGGGTGCTTTTTGTCTAGGGAAAAGCATCCAGCCGAAAAGTATAAACATCTGGATTTGTAAAGCATTTTGGAAGTACTTGGAAGTAGGCCTCGTTATTTTCGTCAGAATTTTAATTCAATGTTAGTTAAAGGTACGGTCACTTTCTCAGCGAAAATATTCAAATATTAAAGTAGTTGCAAGAGGCATCCCGTTTTACGTCGGTATTGTCCGCCTCACTGCGGGTGATGTTGTTCAGCTGGCAGTGCCGCCCATCGAATTGGCGGCCGCCCCGCCGCAGATGAAAGGAGCGGCATCGGGGCTCGCGCCGGCACGCCAAACCGCACCCAAGGACGCCCTCGGTCGTTGGAAACTCCCTAATGACGTGAGCATCGGTCAGGCAGTGGAACGGGGAGTGGTCATTACCAATGTCCGAGCCCCGAGTTCCCGGGCAGGACATCGCGGCTGGGGCTACCAGTGGCTCCGCGGGGCTCTCACAGATAACAGCAAGCTGCCAGTGGCACTCGACGTCGTCATAGAGACCGCCGCATGGATGCCACATCTGTAAGCAAGGCCGATCACCACGAATACGAGGCTCCCCCGGAGCCCAGTTGAAGTAAAGACACTTGCGACCTTCCCCACCAGGTTGCATCCATTGTTCCCCTTCACGTCTACATCCGATCCACGCGCTGTCTCCCCGGCTGACCCCCAGAAAAATCTCCCAGACGAATTCGTGCTCATGCTGAGAGTCTGGCACCACCAACTCACGGCCCTTCTCACGGCATGCGGTCGAGGCGGGCCCCCAAGCCATTTTTTCATCCACCATACAATATTTGGAGCCATGAAACCATCCCAAATCTGTACAAATGTTGCCTGCCCCAACAGAAGTAATGGAGATCATCAAATAAATCGCACCGATGCCCATCCTGATGGGGATAGATCTGCAAAGTAATTTAATCGCCTGGCGTCTGCTTTTTTGAAGGAGGGTAGACCCTGGAACTTGTTGATACTCTCAGTCACTCATCATTCGACTGATGTATGTTGGCTGTGGGAACCAGTTGGCCGAACAGCGACGCTGACGTAATTGAAAAACTGTCTGCCACGTTGCGTCAGCAGTTCACCATTGCTAGGCCCTTTTCCAATACTCGACTTTGGCTCCGTTCAGGCTTCGGTTCCCAACACCAATCCCCGATTGTGGGCCTGAAGGGTTGAAATTAAATTTGATTACTGTAATTTCTGGCTCTCTTGCATCTTTTTGATTTTTGTGGCACTATTAAACTAATTACTGCGCTTACAGCTTCAAAGGCAGCTAGTTAAAAACAGTTGAAGCCTGAGACGGAGCCAAAGTTGATTATTGGAAAACGATTAGATTCTATATCCAGAAATCGCCCATTGTAATGAAAAATGGGGGTGCTCAGCAAAAATGCTTTAAATTAGAATTATTCAGACTGCTCTTTTCATTCGTTGCTTCCGCTGTCAAGCCAAGGAGCTATTAAACGCAGACGACTGCCGGCAATCCCCCTTAGTTAATCAACTGCAGGGTGTCTTGATTGATGCAGGGCCAAACAGAGAAAGAAGTTCCATCAACAGTCATCAGACATAAAACGGTAACACAGGAAAGCAGTTGGTGCGACACATAACGCTTGGGTGTACCATGGAGTGTTCCTTCCTCCATAGGTATACTAACCCACCAACCAAATGACTGTGAATTTATTTTAAAAATACTGTAACAGGGCAAACAAACAGAAACGAAACCAAACACGCAGGTACCACTTTTTTTTCGAATCAAAATAGAATAAAAATTGGACTTCCTATACCAACTATTCCATCCATGCAATACTCTTGCTGTGTGACAAATTTCTAAAAATTGTGTGTCAGTTTGCACGTAATGAAGAGCTAAAAAAAAACCAGGTCTAATACAATGAGGATACATGTTTAACGGATAAAGATCACTACAATATTGTCGCCACTGCAGTGATGAACATATTTAATATGAACAAATTTCGAGCTTGCCCTTGCAATCGAGGATTTTTATTCCAGGGGGAGGGTCAGACCCAATTTTTTTTATGTCTGATTGTTGCTGACAGGCGGACACATAGATGCATTGCACTGTTTTAGTATGCACTTATCTTATTATAGTAGTAGGATATCATCCATTTTCATCTTTATTATTACTAGCATTTTTGTTTCATTTTTGGGGGTGTCGGAACATGGGATTAACCCCCCATCCCTGCCTGGATCGCAGCACCATAGACGAAGTTGAACAGCTTGAAACAATGGGACATCATGCATGTCTCATCATGAGACATTATGTCAAATTCCAGGGAGTAAATGTATCTTATTAGCGCAGCCGTTGAAGCATGCACTGACGAGCGTGCCAATTTCTCCCCTTTGCGAGAGCGAGCCTCTTTGGCGTAATTTGCCCGTCATAATGAGATATTAATAGATGAATTCACTTGCAGCTGAACATTTCAAATATTTATGCCAAAAGGCCCGATATTATTATACATATTGTCAATATATCATACCTGCGGATTGTTTGTTACTGCAACGTGGTAACTGAACAATAGTTGTCAAGCAAAGGACAGTAAAAATACCAAACTACGGAAGCCGAATAACGCCAAGGGATTGGATGCTAACGTTTTTCCCTTTTCTTTCATTACTTTTATTATATTATGGATTTATTTTTTTAACACTGACTGAATATTTATTGGCACCATTACCTGGCGGCTGCCACTTAACTTCGAGCGGTATGCAACATGTGGTTCACTGGTATAAATCAAATCATTAATTACCCTAGGTCATTAATGTCATCCATCCTGTAGAGGTTTTTCACATGACGTAACACGACGGGCAAAAGCACTTCAGGAAGAGTACCGTGTCCGTAGAGGCGCATGCATTTTCGAATCTGGGTATTTCTGTTGGCAATTTCATGTAGGCCTACGCCAGAATGTTGCGAGTCTTCGAAGGCGCGCGAGTTTCTGCTCACATCTGTGTAAATTGAACTATGACCGTCAAAAATGGCATGACTGAAAATCCTCCATAGTTAGGCGGATTTCAGTCAAAATCGCAGCCAATTGTGGGTTTGTATGTACAAGCATGTATTTTGGCAAAGTTCAGGACTACGGTCTCTCCGCCCAGAGTCGAGGTGCAACCCAAGTCGGCAAAAGAAAGACAGATGGTAGTATGTTTTCCAAGCGGGTTCTTGGTACGGTCCTGAACCCCCCCCCCCGGAAAAAATACGAGATCTGCCAGTCATAACAAACTACCTTTTCAAAGTTCCAACACTGCTGATATGTGAATGTTTATTATTGCGTTTACGAGAATTAATCATATATAACGGGTTTGCCCTTACCCAACGTATATTAATAAACACTGTATGCTCAGTGCTTGTCTGAGAGCTTGCGAAAAAAACCTCAAGCAGAATTAATCAGTGATCTTTATTTACCATTCATGTATTCCCATTGTATTTGACTCGTGGATTGGCTTTTCATCAGATGAAAAAAAAATTGGAATTACTTTTTACGTTCTGAGTTTGGTTGATTGCGTTGTTTCTGTATGCTTGACCAGTTAGAGCATTTTTTAATTTTTAAAAAGTTCACAGTCACTTAATTGGTGGGTTAGTTACCAAAGCGTTCTGTGTCGCGCCAACCGCTTTCTTATTACCTCTCCATGTCTGATGACTGCCGAAGGAAAAAAACTTTCTCCGTTTGGCCCTTCATCGACCAAGACATCATGCGGTTTATCAACCGAAATAGGTTGACAGGCAGCAGGAGCAACGGCGGTCTGGATATTTCCATGTTGATGTATTTTGGGCGAGCAACGCCCCCCCCCATTGCTTATTGCCATGGGCAATTTATAGACATAAAATCTACCGATTTGTCCGTTGGAGAAATTGCCGACGCAACCTCGCTATTTGGCGAAGTGGTTTCCACACAGCCAACATGCATCAATCGAATGAGGAGTGACTAAGACATCTACAAGTATCAACCAGTTCCAAGGTCTATCCTCCTTCAAAAAGGCAAACGCCAGGCTACTGAATTACTTTGCAGATCTATTCCGATCAGGATGGGCGTCGGTACGGTTTATTTAATGATTTTCATCACTTCTGTTGGGGCAGGCAACGATTGTACAGATTTGGGGTGGTTTCATGGCTCCAAATANTTTAGCCCCAGCCGCGATGTCCTGCCCGGGAACTCGGGGCACGGGCATTGGTAATGACCACTCCCCGTTCCACTGCCTGACCGATGCTCACGTCATTAGGGAGTTTCCAACGACCGAGGGTGTCCTTGGGTGTGGTTTGGCGTGCCGGCGCGAGCCCCGATGCCGCTCCTTTCATCTGCGACGGGGCGGTCGCCGATTCGATGGGCTGCAGTGCCAGCTGAACAACATCACCCGCAGTGAGGCGGACAATACCGACGTAAAACTTGACGCTTCTTGCAATTACTTCAATGCTTAATTAAATATTTGCAAAAGCTTGACGACTTTCCCTGTGCAAGGACTGGCAAAATTTATTTATTTCAAAGGCGGAAAACAACTGCAAAAGTGTGGCACTCAGAATCCTTTAAGATGAATGGCAGACTATATTGTTCGATATTTTTCTTTACAATCACACACAAAGAAACAGAGTGTTGTCATTTCATGCCTGGTGATACCTGATAACGTCAAAACACCTCAACAATTCTAAGCAATAGGTTGTAAAGTATCGAATTCGTAAACTACTTATATTTTGGTGTTACAGTATGCAGTTGTTTAGAAATGTTGTCTTATTCCTTTTTAGCTACTTTCATTGCTTTTTCCCCTTGTTTCAAGATTACATTTATTAGCACAGATCTTTCTAAACGATAATCGTACAGCATTATTTTTGATAGAAGTGTGACAGTTCAACCGGTAATTCCAATCCCTCGTGAGGACATATTAATTTCTCAAGTGCAACGTGACAGTCTCTGGTTCCTTATTTGCCATGGATACCCATATACGACAGTTAGCAAAAGTTTTCCTGACATTTCTCTTGCTAAGATTTCTTTACTCGCCTGCGTCTGTCCTGAGCTCTTTACCACAAAAGAGAACAGTTCCACAACACCTAACCAGCAAATGGACTACGTGAACTAAGTGCGTCAAATACTCGCCATAGTTAAACTGAGGTTTAGGCTACTTTGTATCTCATTAAAACGCTTGGAATTTAAACACATTTCTGAGCACATTTTTGTACCAACTTTTTTGACATTTTTAACCGCGACGTGTTTAGTGTTTTGCGTTTAGGAATGCGTTGAAATGCTAAGCACATCTCAAAAAGCTAAACATGTACCACGGAAAAGCGCTTAGCGTTTAAACACATTCCTAAACACATTTTAATAAACATGTTATGGGTTGAACGTGGGGAAAAAGTGGGTACAAAAAGTGCTTAAACTCTAAACGTTGTTTTTATAGTATACTTGACAGAATAGGAACATTCACCTTAGCCTGTACAAACGCCTCCATAAGAAAGCATTCGGGTGGACAGAACATTGTGTCATGAATCTTGTGTCTATTATAAATTTCTCAAGTAAAGGTCTTGCTTTTTACTTGAGTGTAGGCCTACATATGCTAATTGTGGGTTTTTGCATAAGTAGAGGAGTGCTGTTACATTTATTTAGCGAAAAAGTCTGGACGGGTTGTTAGATTGAATAATACGATTGTTGAATTTCAGGTTTAAACGAGTATATTTGGGGGGGTTATGTCTACCCAATCGTGGAAACGGGATACGTTTTGAAGGAGGCAGTCAAGAGGCCCTCATTTTCTGGAAGGGGGGCACTCAATGCATGGTTTCAGTCACGGCTAAAACGTTATAAAGGCCGGTTCATACTTTAGGCGAATGTGAAAGCGAAGCAAATTTGACGTCACGAAAAAATTGCGGGGAAATTTCTCTAGAGTTAAAATGTGTTAAATTTTTGCGAATTCGTAACGCGAAAAATTTGATGTGACGTCACAAATTTAAGTCCGTTTTCACTTTCGCGCGAAGTATGAACAGGCCTTAAGATGGGCTATTCATAGCCTTTTCTTTCCCTTATATACATGTAAATATATATGGGGGGTGGGCACACGGGGATCACAGGCCTTGAGGGGGAGGATAGCCCATACGCTATTTTGTCTCCCTGTGTGTGGTGAAAGTCGTGTATAGAAAATTAAAAGAACTCGTAGAAGCACAGAGAAACAAACAGGTTTTGATACACCGGTATTCATTGATATATTTTTCGCTCGATGTCTTTTGATTTAATTAACATTGGTCAAGCTTACATTACTAAGGAGTGGTTAAACGGCTGATTTTTTGTCTCCAAACGACATGCACTATGGAAGCATGCAGAGTCTCCGATTTGGGCGCTTTTATTCTGTACAGTTATACCTGTATAACGCGCACTGTCTGTCCCGTCGGGACGCCCCTTAATATTGGTCTCCCTAAGTTTGAGTTCCTCCGAAATCCCAAATGCTAACAAGCAGCGGGGCAAAGAGCACGTTTACTTTGGGAGCGTTGCTGGGATTATCATGTGCACACGAGTATGTAAACGTCAGAGAATAATGACCGCAATGGTCGCAGGCGCTTTGTGGGCATTGAACGATTCGAGTCACTGTTCGTGCATTGGCGCTTCATCGCCAATGATCAGACGTTCATGGTCAGACGTTGCGGAGGAATATGTTTTCGCGATTTGTTACAGTCCACTTGACATGAGTCTGCGCTAAACTGTAGGTATTCTGAAGAAATCGTTCACATGTTTGTGTTCTGAAGTTCATACATGATGCGGAATCTCTGGCACTGATGAATGGGATAAGCTTTATTATGTATGATACCAGGTAAACTCTCGCCGCGAAAGGATTTCAATGTTGGCCAGCGACACAGATCACAAGACAAAGTCGTGACATCAGCTTGGTTTCGTCACCCTGGTTCATAGGTATGCAAATTGTATAACATTAATTCAATTAAGCATAGAGGTTTTGCATAATAACCATCTTACGTGGCACTGGTTCTTTTGTTCAACGGGGAACCTCCAAACTGCCCTGCAAGATGGCTGCAACGCAAAGCCTCTATGCACGCTTTACATTGTGATTAAATCATTTTTTAATGTAGGCCTACACAAATGAAAAATCCTGGTTATTAGTTTTCATGAAGTAAAAATAAAGTTGTGTGTCAACTACTGAAAACCTTTTGACGCATATGAGACTGAATTGGATCCACAAACAACTATATCCTTCGAACTATGAATAATTAATCTACGAACAATAATATTATATTGTTCGGGAAAGAGTAAACCTCAGCGCGCCTAGGCCTACTCATGCGAACACACATTCAAAATCCAATTTTTGAGCATTTTTGTGATGTGGTAGTCTTTGTGCATGGAGACAGGAAATCGTTTTGATTGGTTGATTTACTGTTGATTATTCCTGTGGCAGAGAATATGCGGCGAGTGAAGCTGACCAACCTCTTGATTTGTGGAATCGCAGCATTCCTGTTCGGTGCCACATACGTTGCCTTCAAAGAACCACCCAAAGGTACAAAGCAAAGGGCCGGGGGGGGGGCACGGGAGATTTCGTCGGTCGAGTAAGGGCTAAATTTGTTGAGGGAGGAGGGGAGCTTTTACAGTGACAGTAGGCTAATCCCTGTATCAGATGGGCTCTTTTGTTGGGAATTATCGGAAAGCATAAACTGTCTGTCGAGTATCGAGAATGATCCTTAGCTAAGTTGGAAAATCAGAGAATATGAAACGGTTTTATGTACAATGCTAACACATATCCCCATCCAAATCTCCACATACACGTACCATACGCGTTGTAATATCACAATATTGGGGGGGGGGCTATCCTAAAGCTAATACCTGGGCGTAAGGTAAACACTGGGTGGGCCGTGGTTGGGCACTTTACAAGTACATTGGCAAATATTCCCGTGAAAAGCCTGACAAAAGACGCGCATACCAAATACATGTAGTAGGTCAGCGACTGATCTGGCGGCGTCACGTCATGTATCAGCCGAAACGAAAGCACATAAAAGTTGATCTGGGGAGTATGGTACGGTAAAAATGCACGTCATGCGTGACGAAGTACCACATGTATAAGTAACCTACTGATGGATTGGTAATTACAACCGGAAGCCACGTCCATTTCGAGCCGATAACGCAGTGGGCATGTGGGACTCTTTATATAAATGCTTTACATCGCTTTTACTTCCCACAAGTGTAACAACGCAAACGCATTATTGCGAAATACGGATATTTTTTTCAGACTACCGCGCGGGGGTATAAACAAATTGAATTCCTTAAATTAGGAGTGGCGCTGGCACTATTGCCACATTTCGTCCAACCTTTTTATACAGACCTATTTTGAGTAGGTCAAATAATCAAGAAAACTAAACGGTCTCAATTCTGGTTAGTATGAGACGGGAAGAAGATTTTGAATCCTGGTTTTAGCACTCTTCAGTATATTTTTTCATTATAGTTTTTTAGGGATGTGTTCTTAGTTTCCATTCATTCTTTTCACAAACGTTCTCAAGATGTTGGTAATATGGACATGGGCCTTTGGGTATTATAAACCGACGGTGTCTACTAACTGCCACCTAATCAGGGGTGTGGCACTAAGATATGGCGAAAAAAACGTTCCAAAGGGCTTTTTGACTTTTTTCACGAGCTCTTGCCAGGACAAGTACAGAGCAATGCGGAGTAGCTTGTGGTCACCGTGTAGAAAATATCTCTTTTGTCAGCGAGGTTCTAATTAACCCCCCCCCCCGTAAACTACGAGATCCAGGCAGCGTGAGCCTCGCGCAGGAAAAAGAGGGCGCAATTTGCCTATAGCAACGGAGGCTCCTTTGGTGGGAACTGCACGTCGCTGGTTCATAAACGACTACGAAGTGCACAGGTGTACAAAATGAGCACTCTTCACCAACATGGATCTTTTCAACCGATGAGAGGGTGCTTCTGCTCAAGGCAGACTCTCCAATCGTTCTCAAGAGACAGCAGCAAGTTCTTTTCAGAAACTGACGTACTCACATTAGGCCTTAGAGATATTTCGTCTGCATTGTGCTACCGTGAGCTACTCTACACCAAAGCTAACGGCGACGGAACAATTCTCAAAGGGGTGGGGGCAGTTGTGGGGGACCTGCCAAAAGTGGGAAACCATGCCTCCCCGGTCGAAAAAGTGTGTGTGTGTGTGAACGGGGGGTGTACTGGCCCGTTGCCCCCCCCCCCCACTTCTGCCGTCATTACTCCACACTGCTTCCTCACCTCCACACTGCAAACCTTCGAATCCAAGCACGTCGAAGCACGTGGCTCAAAGAATATAAATAATATACACGTATATTTCCTAAATGGTCTAGGATACATTTAACCGAGACAGCATTCCTTCATGGTAGAGGTCTAACGAAACGTCACATCAAAATCTCTCCATCATTTTCATTTCACGTGGTGTCTTTCAGATACTTTAAGGGGAGTCCCTGCCACGGACAGGGGGTTGCGGGGTGTGGTAGCACACCGGTCGAGCAACTCAGCCATTCAATCCTGGCAGCGAGATAACGAGGACGACGCCTTGTTGCTTCCCTTTGCCAACCGCGCCCTGCCCAGGCACCTCTTACAGGTACCGAGTTACATGCGCATGCTCAACGCCTCTACGGAAGGTAAAGAAGGACATTGCTGATTTCACAATAACCACAGTCTTGAGCTACTAATCCACTGCAACAAAAAACAAAGAGCTCTGATGACAACATTTCAGTTTAAAACTGAAAAAAGTTATAAAGTTCTGCTAACAATAATCACAATCGTTCTGTAACTTCATTGATTCACCCAGTATTGTATGAATAAAGTTTTTTTGTCTGTACCATTGGCGCATAGCTTAGACTAAAAAGGACACCATGATTCACGCTGCGTGGTCCTCGTCATTTGAATGTATTTTGTAAACCGCACAAATTCCAATCGTATGAATTGATTCTGAAGGTATAGACATCGACATAGCCTGGGGAGACATCGACTTCCACAATCTGGATCTTCGGACCGTCATCGTGACTGGTCTTTCTGGATACACGGAAGAGGAAGGGGTGGGGCTTGTTGCGTCTGCCCAAATTCACATGCCCTTCAAGAAGATCATCATCTACGACCTAGGGGTCAAGAAGCGCACAATAGACAGGGTGGGTCGACAGCCCATTTGGTGATCAACCAAACTATACGTGTCACCCTGCTGTCATTAATTTAAAAAAAAATTGGTTTAATCATGCGTAATCAAATTATTCGAACGAGAATGGAAAATGAATTACTTATTTATACACAATAAGGAAAACGAGACATCCTCGAAAGGGGCTTGTCTGAGGAGAAAAATGAGAGAGAGGGCTGGGTTTTATGGTTTAGGGAAACATGTGGATTTAGAGACCTTGTTTGTCCGCCCGTGAGGGAGGCGAACCGAAGCTTAAAGGCGCAAAGATACGCCCCATGAACAAACTCACTGCCTGACTGCACAACTCTTATCGCTGTATAGGGCCAACAAAGTTATTGTAGATGATCAGAATAAATAGTCATCATCAAATAAGGCTTTAATTATTTTGTCCAGTGACGCGTAGCTCTTACACGTCAATGCTAGACCGCGTTTATGTTAAGGTTCTTTAACAGTCATGCTGTACAACAATACTTAGATGAAACTTACACTCAGTTTATCTGCAGGCGAAGTGGTAGTCATTTCAAACGAGTCATACGTAAGCTCCCTTTGCATATTACTTTTGAAAAAAACTTTTCCATAAAAATTGATCTCTTACCCTCCTACGCATTGCCCCATTTCCGGATGCACATAATTTTACCTTGCCTACTTAATCTTTCCCGAACACGAGTCGGGCAAGACAGACCTGTAATCTAACTCGATCTGACAATATATGTTGATGTTTTACAGCTGGCGCCGCTCTGCAATGTGGAGATCCGCAAGTTTCAATTCACCAAGTATCCTGCCCATGTCAAGATCCTCAGAAACAATGCGTGGAAACTGATCCTTATCACGGTGAGAAGACCACTTGTTTTGCTCGGGCTATAACTTCAATTTTTTTTTCAGGTCTTTTCGAATTTATAACGTGTAGGATATGCTTTGATGCTTGTTCACTCGACCCAAAATGGTATTTTGCGGTTGCAATATATTCCCAAATTCCAGCCTAGCCCCTGAAGTACAATTTGAGTAGGATATTATCTTATGAAGATGTGTGTTATAGTGGGAGCCTTCTGTTTGACCCGTCTCTCTACTGAGACATTACACTACAGTCTCAAGTCAGGTGCGGTATCTAGTCGACTGTGGCCTCGACAAATACTTTTTTTCCGTAGCCATTGTGTCGAGGCAGGAGGAATATATGTATTTTAGGCGACCGAAATAGTTGCATGCAGAAACAATAAGCATTTTTTACATTCTCATTGCAACATGGAAGTGGACTACAAACAGGTAACGCATTTAGTCACAAGCCTATAGGGGGAAGTGAAAAACCTTCCACGCAAAGGAGTGGATGATACATCACCTTTTTACATCTTGCAGGAGGTTTTGGAGGAGTTCGGTTCAGTCTTCTACGCCCACCCTCGCCTCCGGTTCCGCGCACCCATCAGCATCCTCTTCCCCTTCGTCAAGCAGACGCACGGGTTCATCCCGAGCATGTCCGACGACACCTCGCTGCTGCAGGTCAGCCATCCAAACACGCTGAGGCTCATGAAGGTGAAGGCGGCTCAGCTGAACCGCACCGTCTCAAGGAGCCCCATCCGCGTCATGTCCGGCGACATGCTCCTCTTCGTCATGAACTCAACGCTGACCAACCGTGCCCTGCCGGAGCTCCGCAAGTGCCTCCTGCGGAGCCGGTGCCTAAGCCCGCCGGGGGCCATGTGGCATCCACAGCAGCGGCAGGGCAAAAGGCATCAACACAGGCACCACTTCGACCAGACGCTGCTGTCCCTGATGATGTACAAACAATACGGGGAGACCTGGGTGCCGGGAGAGGACGTGCGACGGAAGATGAAACGACTGTACGTGGTCCTCGACGAGGGAGACCCCGTACACGAACTGTCCTGGTCCTTCCGATGCAATCCACCTAAGGAGGAGTTCGACCCGGCCAAATTACTGCAAAAGAAACTACTATGAGGGAGCTTCCAGCAGACAACTGCCAGCATGTCGTCCCTGTTCATTCAACAACGGCCCTCAACAATGGCGGGAACAGTGGCACCAATCACATTTCAAAAAAAATGCCAAGGGCCAGGTGTTTTGCACAATATAGCCAACACCATGCTGATCTGCTATGCATAGGGACTACACGGGATTTCTGCATGTGCGGTGGCACGCGCCCGAATGAGCGGTACGCTTAAGACAGTGTAACAGTGAGCCGACAAGGAACGAATGGAAGACCGAAGAATGAAGACCTTAGGCGTATGACGTCACGTTAGAGGCTATTTCTTTCTCCGGGATACGCTCGAGTAATGTTTTTATGCGTGCATTGTAACGATGTCAAAGTAACAAAGAACAGCCTCTGAGACGCAGTTTTGGACAGTTTTAAACTACTTGGAACTTTCCAAAAAGGCAATAAGGACCAACTAGCATTACTTCAGTATTTTGCTTACCTCCATGTCATGAACACGTTTAAATGCGAAAACAACCAACGGCCAATTTTACAAATGTGAGACAGACCTTTTCAGTGTTGTACTAAACAATGTAAATTCGCTTTGAATTACAAATTTAAAGAGGTTTTCAAGTTATGATGGAATGGACAGTCCCAAGTCGTGCATTAAATAATTGGCTGATGTGTATTATAGCTGATTTTCTCAAGAGGTGAGAAAAGCATGCATCTGTTTCGCATCTTTAATCCAAGGCCTAATCACACGTACCTCTAGTCAATTATCGGTACCAAAAGGATGGAGGATTTCTTGGGTGCCCTTTGTGAGGTACCGTACTTTTTGCTGATTAAGTTCTCAAATACCGGGGTTGTTGCTCTCTTTCCTTCCCATTTTTTTTTGATTCACAAAAAAAAACCAAAAACAAAACAAAAAAACCCAAAAAACAAAACGAGCGCGTGTTGACGAGAGACTAGTCAAATAGATGATTTTGATCAAGCCGATATCTTCCTTTGCAAAGTACACTCACGAAGGCCATCTGCCTATGTAAACGGGTACAGTGATCGTTGATGGTAAAATAAATCTTATAGAGTTAAAGGCCTCAGTACCGTAATTAAATGTTTGCGTTTTTCTTAACTGTAAATTACCACACTCGCTTTAGTCCCTGCTTAAAGTTAAGGTTTTACCTGAATACAACCATTGCACATGTATTTCAGAAAAAAACCTTTATCTATGTTCGAGTACATCGGGTTACATGACCGTCAGTGTTCCGGAAGCGCGCCACCAGGGCTATGGGTCAATATTCCGGGCTCTATTTTGTCTTCTCCAGTGACCCAGACATCGCCGTCCGGTCTTGTCAATAGGCCAAAATCCCTCTTCATTGCCGTGCCCCTCCACCAGTCGAAACCTGAAGGCGCGGCACGGGATGGCCAGAAACGCCTCTTACTGGGCGACATGCTGGCCCGGGGAGGTCCGATGACCTGCGAAGCCGAATGGCTTCAGGGCGTGCTTTTTGCGGGCGGCCATACGGTGGACGTCGAAACGGCGGGATCAAATCTGTTCATGAAAAGAACATGCAACTCCATTCAACAGAGTTTCATACGATTTGCATCATAATGAGTATTTGAAGGTACATCTGGTTTCCGAACAACAACATGATCCTATGTTCACATCAAGTGGACATTATACAATACGGAAGAAAAAATTGTGTATGGGCATTAAATTTTGCTCTCGTATCTCTTGACCCTTTTTCCACATAGCATTTCCAGAATGAAGGTGGTGTTAAAGTAAATGAGGCTCCACGACCCCCTCCCCTGTTTAGAGATCTGCATTTCAGAAAGTGGTTGAAGGCTTTATACCGTGTCATAATACAATTTACTAACCACACCCACTCAGTGCTACCCTCCAGTCAGTGTTTCTTTGCAACTTGACCCCATTCGCGCTGTGGTAAAACTAATTATAT